CTCGCGAGAGACCGGAAGCGCCCGCCGCTCCCTCTGGAGGCTCGCCCCGCCCCGCCCCACCGAGCTCCAATGGCCAAGGCCGCCCGAGGGGTGGCGGCCAGATAGGGACTCAGGGAAAAGTGTGCGGAGGCGGTCGCCGCGCAAGGCGGGGTCTGTCCCCGGCCGCGCTGCGTGCCGCGGCGGGGCGGGAAATGTCAGGCCGTCCCCGCCTGGTGCGGGGTCGTGGGGCCCCGGAGGGCGCGGAGCGCGGGAGGCGATGGCGTCGGCGGCGTCGAAGCTGCGGGCGGAGGCCGGGCTCGGGGCGCTCCCGCAGCGGGCGCTCGCCCAGTACCTGCGCCTTCTGCGGCTCTACCCTGTGCTCACCAAGGCAGCCACCAGGTCGGCGCGCAACGGCCACGGAGGGGACGGGACCGGGCGGGGGGCGGCCCGTAGCTCGGCCGGCCTCGGGGACCCAGCCACGTAGATGCATCCTGTGCAGGGATTTGAGTGCGAAAGGCAAAATGTCCGGGTGTCAAAATGACCTCCCAAAGGCCTTCAGTTAGCCCGAGAGCTCAGCATAGGCGGCTTGGTGCATTCGGTCCTCACAAGTAGTTACCAGGGGCCAGGCCGAAGGAAGGCACAAAGCGAAGGGCTCCAGGCAGACCTCCTGCCCTGGACGTGACCTCCGGCCCTGGAGGTGACCTCCGGCCCAGCTTCTCCGCGGGCGGTCGAAGCCTGACCTGCGCTTGTTCTAAGGTTAGAGTGGCTCAGGCGCGACGTGTTAAGATTTGTTTTTTTAGTCAGCTTTGCATTCGGCAGAAAGGTGACAACCCCCCTCCGCCCTCCGCACTCTCCCCTCCCCCGTCTGCTGGTCAGTTGCACCCTTTGATTTGGGGTACTAAACTTTTTATGAGACATCGTCCTCCTCCATTACTTTAATTACTTAATTTTATAAGTTTGTCCGCTTTTGTTAAAGCCAGCTTTTCATAAGTAGGTACAGCATGCTTCCTGCGTGTCAGGCATCAGCAGCAATCAAGAGGGTAGGGACCCTCAAAGGCGTTTCTATTCAAGTGAAAGAGTAGAGGATAAACAGATAAATACATAGCACAGATGAAGTGGTCGGGGGAAGGTGACATTTGAATGGGAGGCCTGAATGAAGGGAGGGAACAAGGGGAGCCAAATCTCCCTGGGCAGAGGGTACTTCAGGTGCAAAGATCCCGAGGGAGGAGCAAGCTAATAATGGAGGGGCGGAAGGAAGACTGTGTTGCTGGAGACATGAAAAGCCGAGAAAGGAAGCAGATGAGAAAGAGGTAGCCAAGGATCAGCTCAAGAAGGTGCTTATCACCCATACAAAGAATTTTGACATTTTTAGCCCACAGAGCTTATCAGAAGGTAGCTGTAGACCAAGCCTTGGAGCAACTGGACCTGTCTCCACCTCTCTATTGACATTTCTGTTGTGATCACTGTAGTTTACATGCAGGTGTAAGAAAGAATACAGGGAGATCCCTCGCACACTTTGCCCAGTTCCCCCCATGGGTAACATTTTGTAAAAGTGTAGTACAATATCACAGCCAGGCACTGGCACAGACACAGTCCACGGATCAGATTTTCCTGGCTTTCGTTCTGCTATGCCCACCTTTTGACATAGGGACCCTACACTGGGGCTGCCTTAAAAACCTGCTTTAGGGGCGCCTGGGTGGCTCAGTCGAGCGTCAGATTCTTGATTTCAGCTCGGGTCGTGATCCCAAGGGTCGTGGGATTGAGCCCTGCGCCAGGCTCCGTGCAGAGTGTGGAGCCTGCTTGGGATTCTCTCTCTCTCCCTTTGCCCCTCTCTACCACTTGCGCTCTCTCTAAAATAAAAAATTAAAACTAAAAACCTGCTTTAAAAAGGACTCCTCTCTGGGGCGCCTGGGTGGCGCAGTCGGTTAAGCGTCCGACTTCAGCCAGGTCACGATCTCGCGGTCCGTGAGTTCGAGCCCCGCGTCGGGCTCTGGGCTGATGGCTCAGAGCCTGGAGCCTGTTTCTGATTCTGTGTCTCCCTCTCTCTCTGCCCCTCCCCCGTTCATGCTCTGTCTCTCTCTGTCCCAAAAAAATAAATAAACGTTAAAAAAAAAAAAAAAAAA